GACTGTTATCGCATCAAAGGATTAACATTAAAATCGTTAAACCATAAATTCATATCTGCGATTCCTATCTATCTAAGCATTATATTTATCAACTGCTTATGTTTCCTCAATATCGAATATCTGTGCATGAAATATTTGCTCGTTTAATCGATTTTGTATATTTTATTTTGGCTATTTAGTCGATTAAATTTTAATCATTTAATATTTACTGAAAGTATAGATAAAACATTTTCATACTTTTTGCTTTTAACCAAATATCTTTTTCTCTTTAAACTGAATATGTTTGCATATAAAAAATTTAATAGAAAGACATATATTAATGTGACAATATATATATATATATATATATATATATATATATATAGCCAATTTGAAACATAACGTACAAAATTCAGGAATTATTATTTTACAATGATTTTTTCATAGCATTTAATTAATTAAAAAAGTACATTAATCGTATAATTTTTATACTAACTTTTTCATCTATATGACGTAAAATTTAAATTAAAATAATATTCAAAACTTTTTAAACATAAAAATTGTCTTTACTACCAATCAAATTTGAATTTGTTGAATATTCTTGCGATTAATGGTGTAACTTGTATATTATAATGTGAAACGCGCTCGAAATATTCAACCATAGTGTACGTGTTTATTTTTTATCGTGCATACGTACAGGCCCAAATAATACATTAATTATATTATAATGGTCATCATAGTTGTGAAAGAAAATTGGAAATGTTGATAGGCTCCAACATTATCCAACTTCATCTTTTGTTAATTACAATAGTAGCCAATTATATCGAAACAACGCCTTTTAAAAATATTGTTCGATGACACCTCTACGTCAAACAAATAAACATATATTGTCCCACTACCATATTACTCAATTATAAATGTTATACAATTGTTATTAATTATGAAATAACATACTTATATAATAATTTATTGAATAATCAAATTATTCATTTCGTTCATAAAATATATATTCAAATATTTTGTATTCATATTATGGAAATTCATTAATTAATTATAATGGGAATGAAGAAATATTTGATTGATAATGATCGATTAATTTTCATGAGAACTATTACTTGTGAGATTCTTAAAAATATTTTTAAATTTCAGTGTAAAAAGTAATAAGGAAAAAGGTCAAATTCCAATACAACAATATATCTTCTAATATTCTAGAAACAATATATCTTCTAATTTCTAAAACCTGTTATAAATTAGTAAATCTTTTTTACATTTTCATTTATACACTATTTATTTATTAATACAAGAAAAATATTTCTGAATCTTTTTGTCCAAAGTTCCTTGTACATTTTTTAAGTAATAAATTAGTACTTACTATTTAAGTTATGTTTCAAAATAATATTTTTACATCTATTTTATAATAGTATGTGTTTAGAATTAAGTAAAAGACCACTAGGATGTTATGTGTTAAAAATGCGTGGGCAAGTGGAATGGTTAGTGCATCGATTGAATATTTAACACATCTGTTTCTTATTACTGTTTATTCCGTCTACTTTCCAAATAAGGGGATGATTATTGTTGATGAAGTTTATAGATGAACCTTTGTACTCTGTGGCGGTTGGCACATGACGTTAGTGTGCACTTCGTTTGGAGGTAGGAGGTTGTAAAGTTCCTGATCCTCGTGACGTGGTGGCCTCGATGGTAGGTTACCCTGAGAAAGGAGAGGTTGTAAGGCTCTTACCACTTCTTCGAGTAGTGCCACGTGGAGAATCTGCTACTGCTTCATGTGCTTGGGTACAAACGGCTTCTACTAAAAGTTAGGCTCAACACGGTATGGAACTGAAGGGGCGACGCAGGCTTCTCGCGTCGCTCGGGCCAACATCTTCTTGGGCTCGGACTGGCTACTGGAGATACAGTGTGAGCTGGAGGAATCGCACTTTTCTATTACGAAGATTACTGACTGAGCTTCCTTCGAACTCAGCTGTTACGATGTTTCTTCCTTCGTTGCGATTTTAGCGTGAGTGTTTGAATATTGTGTTTTTCCCTCATAAATAATTCACTGAACCTGGTGTCAACTTGAAATCCGTCCCCTTTGTTTCCAATCAGAGCGTGCCGCTTTTGGGCGGCATGACTCAGTATGCAAGCCTTTTTTCCCACTTCCGATGAAATTAAGCATTTTCAATGACTACATCAAAAAAAGTGTCTAACGGCTGCAGCGCCTTCAATTGGGAAGCTCATCCCTTCCCTTGGGACTTGGCGACGAGAGGAGCTGAGCTGCCGGTCAAGCGTCGCTGCTTGATTTGTACAATTGGCAACGTGTGGAGTACTTGACAACAATGTATGGGTGATGTCTCGTGACATTCTCAAGGCACACGCATCCCGACTATTGCCCGATTGTTTTCAAATATCTTAACTCTCGAAATATTCTCGCGTAAACAAACTCGCCGCGCTCTTGCTAGCTAAAATCAAAGGTCACTCATTCCACTTTCCGAGCCTCCAATGACCCTGGAAGAATTTTTATAAAAGTTATGACCCGTGGTATTTTTCCCAAAATAATACACGAGAAATTCTCTCAATCTCGAACGGTATGTATTAAAAATTAATTTAGTATTCTTAACGTTAGAATGAATGCAAAAAAATATAAACACGCATATGTGTAAATGTTTAGATCTCCCTCTATTTATTTTTTACTGTACTGACGAGTGTTCGTATGTTTACGTTAAAAAAAATTTTACATATTAACTTCATTGAAAGTTGGTTTTTCAAAGAATTTGTGATTTTTATAATATATTTTCAATGCAGAACAAATAAATTATAATATAATGCTCAATAATATAATATAAAATAAATTATGAACTATTATTTTTATGATATTGTTCGAATTAAAGTAGAGTTATTAAAACAACAATTTATAACTGGGAAGACTCATTATGCTGACACACATAACATATGTGGTGGATTGTTTTAAGACAACTGGATAAATATACTGTAATATAATTTATATTTTATAATTATATAATTTATAATTTCTACCATTATCACTTGCACACAAGACTCTTGAATAATTATTTGCAATCAGTAGATTTGAAATTACCGTACTCTTAAGTTATATTTAATTTAGTCAATAATTTATTGAATTTAAACAGTGTGAATTATATCAATTGTCCTTACTAGCTTTAATATACTATACAAATGTACATTTGTCAATAATCATTATGCAAATGATAGTCACAACAAATTTGCCTGAGGCAATTGTAAAATTTTATGTTATTGGTTTTATTAAATATTTACTTTAATATTTCTCCATTTTAATCAATACAATTTCATTAATCGACAAAATCGATAAAATATTAATATGGCTATAAAAAGTTTAAATAATCAATATTTCAAATAAATATGAAATTGAAATACTTATACCATATTAAAAATTGTTTGAAAAAACATCTTAACTTTTGTTCATTTTTGCATTTAAACATAAGTTTTTAATTTCATCAGTAAAAAGAATTTTACCCAATATTGATGTAACTCAATTATCAAATATAACTGTATAGAACAATGTGTTTAAATAAAATATTATATTTAAAAATTTTTAGCAAATGTTTTAGCAGACTGTAATCAATCATTTTAGCTCCCTAATAATTTTCTAATAATTTTCTAATAATTTTCTACATTTTCTATAAAAACTACTGATTAATATCAATTGTATATGCTTAAATAAAGCTTAGGATTCTTATGAGTTAGTAAATAGAGATTCTTTAAACACCTTTGAGGAAACTAGATCGAATATGTATTCTAAATGAATTCTAACTATATGTCTTACTAAACTTATAACTATATTTGGGGATCAATTTTTAATAATCACTTATCAAATTATGCAAACGAAAAGTCTAGCATATTAAGTAATAATTCAAAAGATTCTTTTTAACAATGTGTCGTACGAAATGTGTAGTTAATATTCGATGAAATGGATTTTAATGATGATAATTATCAAATGAAATATTTCGAAAGGTGCATTATGAATGGAAATAAAAAATATATAATTATTTATGTAGGATACATTATGAATGCATTATTGCGAAGAGCTATATATTATGATGTATTACTTTCGTTTTAAAATAACACAGTATGCGTTAAAATACCATTTAATATCTACTTAACAAAATTAAAGCTTTAACTTTGAATAGTATTTGTGGTTGTACTGCAATGGAATCACGCAAATTAAATTGTGTCTAAACAATTTATTTTACATAACATTCTTATAAATATATATAACTATACCCATAGTTTGTAATACACGCACAGAGAAAGTAATAGAACTAGATATAAAACACAGAGACAAGGGAAAG